CATTGTCTTTATGTGATTTTCGAAGAACAGAGGTTCTTAATTTTAGTGTAGTAGAATTTATAAATCTTATACTTTCAGGCTAGTTCATTTTATGTTTGGGTTAAGGTTATCTGTTCCTGCTCTGAACTCCTAACGATATTCTCCTGTATTGCCTTCTAAAATGTGATACTTCAGTCTTTCACATTTAGGTTTTTAATCCACTAGTAATTGTTTGTTTTTTTTTGGTGTCATGTAAGGTGGAAGTCCATTTTATACTTGTCCATGTGGATAACTGATGGTTACACTATCATTTATTAAAAAGTCTATACCAGATTTGTGATAGAACTGTGATGCCAATTCTATCATAAATCAGATGTCCATGTATGTATGGGTCCACTTTTTAACTTCATACGAATACTATAGTCTTAATTACTACAGTGTTAAAATAAATCTTGATAATGTAAATTTACCAACTTTGTTCTTTTTTCTCAAGTGTCTCATGACTATTTTTGGCCCTTTTTTTATCATAAAAATTCTAAATCAACTTTTCAAGCTCTGCATACATACAAAAAGAATATTTGGGGATTTATTGAGATTGCATCGACTCAATAAATCCACATGGAAGAATTGATACATTATTATTTTGAGTTGAATTTCTTTGTATTTATGTAAGGTTACTTTAAGATCTTTCAATATAGCTTTATAATTTTCTCCATAAAGGTCTTTCATATTTTTTGATAGATTCAATCCTAGGTAAATTCTGTTTTTATATCATATAAATTATATCTCCTAAAGTTATATTTTAAAAATATTTATTGCTCTGTAGAGATATGCAGTCCATTTATTGCATTAAAAAAAGAAAAAAGAAAAAAAAAACTTTGCCATCTAGTGGATCCCGACCCATAGGGACCCTATGGGACAGAGTAAAGTTTTCCAAGGCTATGGGGCAGCTCTGCTCTGTCCTATAGGGTTGTTTTGAGTTGGAATTGAGTCGATGGTTTGGTTTGGAAGCAGACTTTCGTATCTTTCTCCTACTGAGTGGCTGATGGGTTCCAACCACTGACCTTTTGGTTAGCAGCCTGGCGCTTAACTACTGTGCTACCGGGGCTCCTTTATTGCATACAGATATGCAATATATTTCTAAACTGTCTTATTGTAATAATCTGTAGGTGCTTTGTTTTTTTTGTGTGGACCTATGTCATCTTTGGCAATTAAGGGCAGTTTTGTTTCTTCACGCCCATTTCTAATTTTGTCTTCTTGTCTTACTGCACTGACCAGGATGTCTGGTACGATGTTATTTAGAGGTGATGATAGCAGATGCGCTTTAAAGTCCCTGAGATCAGATTAAAGGAATTGCGTCTAATGTCTCACCATTAAGCATGATGTTTACTGTAGGGTTTTTGTAGATATCCTTTATTGGGTAAGGAAGTTACCTTCTCTTCCTAGGTGTTAAGGATTTTATCACATGTGGATATCTAATTAGCTGATCATATACTTCATCTCCTTTATTCTGGGCAGTCTCCTGTCTCCTCTGACCCACACGGACATGTAAACTAAAGCTCAAGTTCTGGCTTCAACAAATGTCTTCAGGGAAGCAGTTCAGTGTTCCACTTCCATCTGAGTTTCCGCTTTCATGTGGACGTAGGCTTCTGAGAACTCCTTACTTTCTTACTAGCTCAATGTTGTGTTTTTCTTAAAGAACTACATTTATATTTTATGCATCATTTTTGGTTGTTTCCAGTGATGGGTGGTTCAGTGTATTCAACTGTGTGTTAGAAATAGTAGGCTTCTCTTTTCTGTCAAAATAATGTCTCTCACTTCTTTTACAGCTTTTCTTAAATTCATCTCCTGTAGATTTTCTTTGTTTAATCTTTTGGGAAATTTAACTGTCCTCAATCTATTAATTAACTATTAATTATTTTGTTTTCCAAATCTCTTCCACCCAACGGTCCAATTTCTTAATAGTTTTACACATTTTTTTAAAGATTGAGGTTGGTCGTTGTATGCATATACCGTTTTTGTCATGTACTTAACCATTTTCTTGTCTTATCTCAGAGACTATCGTATTTTCAGTTCATGAAAAAAGGCCGTGCTCTCTTCCTTTTCTGTGACCCTAGCATTCTGTAAGGAACCTGGTGGCGCAATGGTTACGCACTCCACTGCTAACTGAATGGTTGGTAACTCAACTCACCCAGCTGCGCTGCAGGGGAAACCTGACAATCTACTTCCTTAAAGATCACAGTCAAGAAAACCCTATGGGGTGGTTCTGCTGTGTTACATAGGGTTACTATGAGTTGAAATTGGCTAGATAGCTTCCAACAACAACAGAATTCTATAACTGCACATTCTGTCTGCTGTGTGTACTTCATTCATCCCGCGGCAAACATTACATGCTTTGCAAGTCCATCCTTCTAGTTTCCTTTTCTATACAGGAAATTTATGCAATCATACATGAGAAATTTAACAATCCCCCCTTATGAACAAGACTCTATCCATGCAAATGTTTACTCATTCTGAGAAATTTGACCAAAAAAAAAAAAAATCAGAAGCCTATCTCATTCTGTTTCTCTCAGCCTCTCTTTTTTAGCACTACTGATTCCCTTTACTTGGCTCTATTTATTTCCCATAGTACTTATCATCTTCTAATATGTTATGTATTTTTCTTATAGAGTATATTTGTTGTTTACTCTCTCTCTCCTCCCAGTACAGGGTAAGTTCCATGAAGGCAGGGATCTAAGTCTTTTTTATTTTTGCAGAACGTATAGGAGTCAGTGGCGTCTCTAAAGGGTCTCAGGGAGTGTGGACTGAACCGGTAACCCTGCCAGAGGGGATGACGCCAAAATAACTGTCTATGAATATATTACTGTAGTTGGTTAGAACAACAAAAACACTTTTCATAAACTCAGCTTGTTGTGGTGGTTGTTGTTGGGTGCCCTTGAGTTAGTTCTGATTCATAGGGACCCTGTCTATATACAACGGAACAAAACACTGCCCGGTCCTGGGTCATTTTCATAATCTTTGTTATGCTTGAGCCTGTTGTTGCAGCCACTGTGTCAGTCCATCTTGTTGAGGGTCTTCCTCTAATTCACTGACCCTCTACTTTACTAAGCATGATATCCTTCTCCAGGGACTGGTCCCTCCTGATAACATGTCCAAAGTATGTGAGACAAGTCTCGACATCCTTGCCTCTAAGGAACATTCTGGCTGTCCTTCTTCCAAGACAGATTTGTTTGTTCTACTGGTAGTCCAGAGTATATTCAATATTCTTCACCAACACGATAATTTAAAGGCATCAATTCTTTTTTGGTCTTCCTTGTTCATTGTCCACCTTTCACATGCATGTGAGGCAATTGAAAATACCATGGCTTGGATCAGGTGCACCTTAGTTCCTTAACATGATATCTTTGCTTTTCAACACTTTAAAGAGGTCTTTTGCAGCAGATTTTCCCAATGCAATATGTCGTTTGATCTTTTTTTTATTGTTGTAATTAAATGAAGTTTACATTCCAAGTTAGTCTCCCATACAAATTTCTTTTTTTACATGCATTGTTATGAGACCCCAACCGCTCACCCCATTCTGAGATAGCACACTCCTCCCCTCCACCCCTGATTCCCCATAAACATTCAACCAGCTCCTAACCCTCTCTGCCTTCCCATCTCACCTCTGGACAGAAGCCGCCCCTTTGGTCTCTTGTATCTACTTGACTAAGAGGCACATTCTTCACGAGTATCTCTTTATGTCCCACAGTCCAATCCAATCCCTGTCTGAAGAGTTGGCCTCAGAAATTGTTTTATTTCTGGGGTGATAGAGAGTCCAGGGGCCATGCTTTCTGGGTCGCCTCCAGTCTCAGTCAGACCATTAAGTCTGGTCTTCTTACTGCAATTTGAGTTCTGCATCCCATCGTTCTACTGCTCCACCAGGGTCGTTTGATTCCTTGACTGCTACTTCCATGGGCAGGGATTGTGGATCCAAGTAAAATGAAATCCTTGACAACGTCAGTCTTTTCTCCGTTTATCATGATGTTTCTGTTTGGTCCAGTTGTGAGGATTTTGGTTTTCTTTATGTTTAGGTGTAATCCTACAGAAGACTATAGTCTTTGATAGTCATCAGTAAGTGCTTCAAGTTCTTTTCACTTTAGCAAGCAAGCTTGTGTCATCTGCATATCGCAGGTTACATGTATCAATATACCTACAAGGCTAAAACTCTAGGCTAATTGACTTTTTGAACCTTCTAACTACTCCACTCAGAGCTGTCATTATCACCCAGTTACAGTGATGCTTCAGAGCATATGGTTCCGTCTACACATGCTACAAACACGCACTAAAGCATGCGCTGTTTTCCTTACTGCCCGTGTTTTTATAGTAGTTGATTTTGTCAAATTTTCTGGTGTGTTAGCTACAATATTGTGGTAATTAGTATTTGTGAACCTATATCAATAACTTTTTTGAGAATGAAGTAGTAATTAAAGGAAAAAAAGAAGTGCTATATGGGAATTACAATTTACAAGTTACCTTAGTACAAAAATCATTATTAAGGATATTGTGTGGGGTGATACCGGAAGAGGTCCATGGCGGGAGGGGGAACATGAGTTATCACACTGGGTGACACTAACCCTCGTGACACCACTGATAGGATCCATGGTGGCTCAGTGGTTAACCGATTGGTTACTAACTGAATGGCTGCAGTTCGAACCAACCAGCGACTCCACAGGAGAAAGATGTGGCAGTCTGCTTTCATAAAGATTTAAAGCCTTGGATACTCTATAGGGCAGTCCTGCTCTGTCCTGTAGGGTCACTATCAGTCAGAATTGACTCGACAACAGTGGGTTTTTGTCCCAAGCACCTAAAACAATGCCTGGCATAAATTGAGTGCTCAGTAAATAATTGGTTGAATGAATGAATGGTACAAAACACTGTATGAATGCATAGACAAATGAGAAAAAGTAAAACACTCCATGATTTACTTTTCTCAAATTACTTAATATTTTCTTAATCCATGCTATTTTATTTTATGCTTTCAGATATCAACATGGCAGGGGAACCCAAACCATACAGACCAAAACCTGGAAACAAGAGGCCCCTTTCAGCACTTTATAGGTAAGTAGGCAAGCACTGTTTTACTATATGTCATAGTGAAATTTCTTGCAACTTTATAAGTTATATATCTCCTATAAAACATCAAATATTTTAAAGAGCAATCCTTATTAGCATAAAGTGCTGTAAAGTGCTGATGGTCAAAATATAAATACATCATGCAACACTGGAAAGCATCTTGGATTTCTAACCTTCTTTTGGCTACTTAAACAACCCTTCTACAAGATATGTCTCTAGTGAAAACTAACAAAAATCTCTAATGACTCTACCTGCCAGGTGGTGGAAAGGTCAGTATTTGAGTACCCAATGCATGAGTTTCTGTTTTCACTTAGGTGTAGGCTGCTGAGAACTCCTTACTTTTTTCCTAGCTCAATGTTTTGTTTTTAAAGAGATACATTTATATGCAATGCACTGTAGATGTTTTACATATATTGTTTAATTTAATTTTCACAATCCTATGATATAGATATTGCTGTCCTTAGCTTATAGATCAAGAACCTGAGATGTAGTTTTTCAGTGATTATCCCAAGCTCGTGCGTTGGTAGATGATGGCACCAATATTCATGCTCGGGCCTTCTGATGCCATGCCCCCAAGTTCTTTCCACCCTGTCACTCAGCCTCCTTTGTTACAAAGTACATGTTTCTCTCCTCCCCATTTCTCCAAGACAACAAGTACAACCCTTCTCTTCTCCAGAAAGTAATATCCAATTCCTTAAGCCTTTCCTAATGTATTTGAGTCTGAGTCAATTTAACGTCCTGGTCTTTCCGCTCTAGATGCTCTGAATTTGTAAGTATCCAGGTGGATGCACTAGACTAGATTTAGCATCTTTGTTGTTGTGCTTGTACTTATGGTATGTTAAGTAAAATTCAGTTAATTTGGGGAAGATAGAAACTGTAGTAAACTCAGAACTTTCGCTATCACAAAACAGTCACTTTTAAAAAAATCAAGTCCTACAGTCAAGCCATATGTCCCACTTCGTGTACTTTTACCATTGTTTTCTGTGCTGTAAGTGCTGACTTTGCCTCTATCTCTGTTAAATTCCCTTTTGTTAGATTTAGCCAATTGTTCCAGGCTATTGAGATCTCCTATCATCCGTTTATGTGCTCCACTGCCAGATACATATCATCATTCTATCAGTGTCCACATCCAAAAAGCTAATGTAAGTGTTGAGAAAGACCGTGTTTTTCCTGATATCATTTGGATAAAGGAGAATTGAATTATACGTGTAAAAATGTCTTCTATTCTGATATAGTGTAGTCAGAAGAGTGCGCCAAAGAGAGCTTTGAGCAGATGCCTTGTCTTTGTTCTCTGAAAACGAGCATATCTCCTTCTCAGCCACTCATGGCCTCATTTCCCAAACCGTAAACTAAGAGAGATGAAACTAGATGAGCTCTAAGGTCCCATTCATGGCTAATATCACAAAGTTTTCTAATGAATGACTATCAGAGCTTTTAAAATATGTATTTTAACATATTATATTACTCACTTCTATTATTTTGGCCTTTTGAATTTGTTTACCTATGATAAAATTGTTTACATAAAAATGGAAAGCTACAGGACCTAACAAACGTTGATAACTGAATCTCAGGCATCACTGATGTTAGAGAGCAGAGACAAGACACCAGAAAAGGCAAATGACACGTCACCTTGGCTCAGGTAAAGAACAGTTTTTACAAAACTGAGAAACACAAATTATTTTTATTGGATTCATTTTCAAATGCATGCATAGAGCTGCAGCTAATGCATAATATTTGAAAAGCTATATTTTCAATTACTAAAAAAACAAGCTCACAATGGCTTTTTTTCTCATCAAAGAGTCACTACTGACTGTGCAATGATACCAATTTTCTTATCCTTCCTTTTCTCGAATTGTCTTGGTTTTGTTATAAGAATGGACGCTCATGGCAAGAAACAAATATCTTTTTAACTATTATTTCTCTACTAATATATTATGTTGGATTCAAAAGAATTCAATGCAGAATTTCATTTAAATCAGCTATATTGTATACAAATCACAACAGTGAGGAAATGCTTATTTATCCTCTTTTTATTTGTTCGCACAAATTAAGGCTGAGGTACGCTGCAATTGCAAAATGGTAACAAGGGGAAGAAAAAGTAGTGAACATGCAGTTGATAAAGTCCTTTCACATACGTTTTCTCATTCTTACCTAAGCTTACTTAGTAATCCCCTACTGTATGTAGACAAACTGTGTTTTCGTATTCATTATTCATCTGTCCGTCACAGAATTCCACAAGGTTGGTGTTGTATACTTTACTTTACAGATGAGAAAATTAAGCCGCAAAGATGACAAGGGACTTGCCCAAAGTAAAACAATAAGATTACGAACTCAGCTCTGGATTTTAGCCTCCAAGTTCAGTGACCTTTCCACTATATCACAGCTCCCTATATTCACTCACTTGCTACCATCCAAACGACAGGGATTATAAAAAGCAGAGATTTCCAGGCCACCAGAACTAATAATCACTTATACTTCTTTCCATAAATACCATGCAAGCATGTGGCAGAGAAAATATCGTACAGACACTACATAAGAACACCATGTTTACCTCCTACTTGTGGATTGCATAAATGGTTAATCGTTCGGCTATTAACTGAAAGGTTGGCAGTTCAAGTCCACCCAAAAGTGCCTCAGAAGAAAGGCCTGGAGATCTACGTCCAAAAGGTCACAGCTATTGAAAATCCTGTGGAGCGCAGTTCTACTCTGAAACACATGGAGTTACCATGAGTTGGAATCAACTCAATGGCAACTGGTTTGGTCTTGGTTTTTGTACGACTGTAGGGCACAGGTTTTGACACCAGAGTGAAACTAAATCTTGGCTCCATCAACTCTAGTTTCCATGTTGTTGTGGTTGTTATGTGCTGTCGAGCCAATTCCCACTCACAGTGACCCTCCCTGTAGGACAAAGTAGAACTGCCCCATAGGGTTTTCTAGGGTTTTCTTTATGGCAGCAGATTGCCACATCTTTCTCTTGCAGAGTGGCTGGAGGGTTCAAACCGCCCACCTTTTTGTTAGTAGCCGAGCACTTAAAATTGTGCCATCAGGGCCCCTCTACTTTCTATAGGCCATGTCAAATTATTTAAACCTCTTTGAGCTTTAAGTGTCTAGCTTCTTTCTCTAGCATAACACTTACATAATTTTCTTCAGAGTATATGTGACAAGGGTCCCCAAGATCACCTGCAGGTTTGATGATTTGCTAGGACTCACAGAACTCAGAAAAGCTGTTATGTTGATGCTTATCGTTTATTACAGCAAAAGGATACAAAGTAAAATCAGTAAAAGAAAAATGCATAGGGAAAGGTCCAGGAGAAACCAGGAGCAAGCTTCCAGTCGTCCTCCCCTAGTGGAGTTACATGGGCAGTACTTAATTCTCCTAGTAATGACGTGTGACAACACTTATGAAAGTATTGCCAACAAGGGAAGCTCATCTGAGCCTTGCTGTCCAAGGGTAAGAAGTGATGAAGGAATGAAGTGCCTGTATGACTGACCTTACCTATTAATTCCCCTCCAGAGGTCAAACTGATACAGTGTGGCCCAGGGCCCCAGGCAAACAAAAACAGATATTCACCATAAATCACATTATTGGCAGAAACTATCTGGTGTGGTCCAAGGCCCCAGGGATACAAAGATGCTCTTATCAAGCAGAATATTCCAAGATCTTAAAGGTTATCTCCCAGGAATAGGTCAAGGGCCAGTCCTGAAGACCTTTGGAACGTACAGGGCTTGGTCAACCTGCAGGCCTGCTGAGCAAACCCTTTACCACACAAGATGAAACTGCATAATTCAAGTGAGGGACCCTAGTGCTGTGCAAGTCATATGGTAGCAGTTGGAAAAGGGGGGTATCTGCTTTTCTGCTCTTTTATCTTTGGGTCTGTTTCTTTGTCTGTAAATGAAAGAACTGGAATAGATTCATTAATTCATTCATAAGATGCATTCAACTTTACAGCAATGGGTTTGGGTTTTTTTAACTATGGTCTAGGCACTGTGGTAGCTGCTATTCTAGGCAAATGATACCGAAATGTCAAGGCCGCAGAGCAGGGAGAGAGCATGAGGAAATAAAAATAATTTATTTTTCTGGTTATAGGCAATCTCTGATTCACCTTCCTGCTCTAAACTTACGTATCTCCATAACTGTTTACTTTGTTGGGGGTCGTAAAAAATCTGCTGTCAGACTTCCTTGTTCACCTACATCCACAAATAAATAAAGGCACCCTACCTGAAGGATGTTTGCTGTTCTGTAAGAAAATAAATGAGGGATTTACTGATTCTGTTTAGTGGAAAGGGAGTGACAAGTCTGCAAAAGATACGGGAAGAAGATAATGCTTGAGCTGGCTTCTGCAAGAACAGGGGGTCACCCAGCAGACAAGGGGAAAGAAGGACATGCCATGCAGAGAAAATATGTGCAGAGGCAGAGGCACAGAGAACAAGAAGAGCATCTCGTGGCAGAGACATAGGCACAGAGAGCGAGAAGAGCATCTCGTGGTGGGCTCTAAGATAGTCCACTTGGTGGAGATAGATTGCTGGAATGGTCTGGCGGCCAAGACTGTGAGAACCCCTAAATATCAGATTAAGAAGATTTCAGATTTTTTTCTGCAGGCAGTAAGCAGCCATTTGAATACGGTAACTGATTTAAAAGGGGTGTGAGGGAGGATGAGAGTCCCAGATATGCCCAAGTTTCTAGTTTAGGCAGCTGGGGAATGACGATGTGGCACTGAGAGAAGAAATAGGGAAGGCATAACAGTGGCTGGTTTAGGTTGAGAGGTGGTTGTTGTTGGTAGGTGCCCTCGAGTTGATTCCGACTCACAGCGACCCTACGTACAGCAGAACGAAACCGTGCCCTGTCTTGAGCCAGCCTCACGATCAGTTGAGAAAGAGGAAAAAAAAATATTTCAGCCTTGAGCATGAATTCATAAGGACAGACAATTCATTAAAATAGCACTTGTAATAAAAATGTCTCCCATTAGAGGCTATTTGTAAATGAA